AAGTCAACTTCCGCAAGACAATATTTAAAACACAGATTTGAGGTTTCAGCAACTATTAGTTGATCATACAAGTGGTCCGAATGAAGCAAAATATGATTTAATTGGCTGAGCTGACAACTGATTGGTATGGAACCCTAATTACCAGGAGCTGAAATTTTAAAATACTGTGGTGTTCTGCAAGATGTCCATCTTGAAAAAACAACCTGGCCAAAAACTTAAAAGTGAAACCCATCAAAACATCCTTCAAGGGTAATCTCATCAGAAGCAGGTACTTCCTCATATTCTTTTCCATAGTTACAGACCATTTGGAAGGATATTTGGGTGGAATAACAACACCCTAGACTGTATTTGCACAAAAACAACCAAGATCTAGATCTAGATACAATATTTGCACGTGCAAACTTGGTTCGGTGTAACTTTGGTTATACAGCAGTATATCTACAATCCACGATAGGGTCCCAGGAGCCGTTGGCTTTTACGAAATTACGATTCAACGCATCATGCAAACCCAAAGCGGATTTTTCGTCAACCAAGTCAAGCGCGCTGTGCAAATCCAGACTTCAGATATCAACCTTCTTTCAACACTCGCTTTTCAAACCCCCTAGCGATACCGGACTACAATTATTATTCCTAACCGAAACCATGTTGGAAGGGAATCGTGTTCCGGAGATGCACTCCACATTGACCGTTACTCGCCACTGAATCCACGAGAGCAAAATGAAGCCTTGAAAGCTGTAAAACCCACCACTGTCCCCACCGTCTGACGACCAAAGAGCCAGACAGACACCGACCGTCCTTCTTTCATGAAAGCTCGCTCGCTCGCTTATTTACCGCTCCCGCGGGGGGGGGGGGGGGGGAGGGCAGCCCGTTTGCTCCAGACCCGGCACAGATGCGATGCGAGCGAACCTTTCTCTTTCTTTCTTCCAGCAACGGGCGCGGCAAGAACATCGGCATAACAGCCCCACTTGTGGCGCCCGCTACAAATTTCAAAGAGCGTCACTCTGCCAGACGTCCAATCAGAAGCGGAGTTTTTAAAAGGCGGGGATTGCTATTGGCCGAATAAAGGAAAGAAGACCGCCCCAGCGGCAGGTCCTGCTCGGTTCCGGGGGAGAGGCTTCCGGATCATCTGGAGGAAAAGGAATCGCGTGCAAGGGCGCCTGCTAGACGCAGGCGTGGGGGGGCGTGGGGGAGTGCGGAATGCACAGACAAGGCAACCTTAATTAATTAATTAATTAACCTCATTAATTACAATACAAAATCGTTGTAGGAAAGTCGTGCGGTGCCTTCGAGTCAGCGTTGACTCCTGCCGATTACCTGGACTACTTCCTACAGTTTTAATTGTTAGTATTCAGTTGCAAAAATAAAAATAAAAATAAATCAAGATTCTTGCAGCATCTTTTCCGACTAATCTTATTTAAAGGCAAACCTATTTTCGTGGAAAAAAATGGTATGTGTTACTCGGAAAAGATTTCTGTGTGTGTGACATGGTTGTAGCTGATAATGGAGAAATCAGAAAGTGAAGAAATCTTTTAATAGACTGATTTAAAAATGACATTTCTGATTTAGAAACAGGAAAGGCAAAGGCAGAAACAACTAAAGTTTTGCGCTATGGGTCAAGGAAGAAGTGCTATCCAATAGTCCCAGAGATGCTTTATCAAGAGGACTTTGTTTTTCTTCTCATCCAAGAAGCTTCTTCAGTTCTGAGTGGACGGTGGGGAATGGAAGGATTTTATATTCCTTGCAGACAGCTGGTCATTTGTATTATTTTAAAGAATCCTTGAGGCCCCTTGGAGGTTTATCTGTGTCCTCAGGGTCATCTGAGTAGTGCAAATATGTGTGGAGTCTTGAAACTGCTGAAAGGACCAGAGATAGATGATGTCTATCCCTCTCCCACAGTTGAGAGGGCTGTTTGCTGCCTGCAAGGAGTATAAATCCTTCCATTCCTCACACAGTCAGAGCGAAGAAGCTTCTTGGATGAAAAGTGGAACATCTTCAAAAAAAAAAAAAAAAAACCAAGAAAATCCAATTGCCTCTTGAAAAAGCACCTTTGGGACAACCATGACCTGGATATCTGAGAATCTCCATTGACATTTTGCTATCCAATAGAAATCTATTTTGAAGTAAGTCTCATGAACACAATGGGCATTACTTTCAAGGTATTTTTAGGTAGTATATGGTGCTTCTGGACCTACTGTGCAAAGTGTCTACAAGTTCTTTCTCCCTCACCATGATTGCAATCAGGCTCTTATGGCCACATCAGTTTTTCCAGATTTGTTTTACATGTGGGATTTGATTCTCTTTTCAGCCATGTCTTTGCTTTGACTTCACTCTTCATCTTCAACAGGAGGAAGGCTCACAAGTGCTTTGGGTATAAGGGAAAATTACAGGTAGTCCGTGATTTAACAACCATTTGTTTAGTGCCATTCAAAGCTACAACAGCACTGAAAAATGTGACTTAGGACCATTCTTCATGCTTACAATGGTTGCAGCATCGCCACAGTCACTTGAGCAAAATTTGGACGCTTGGCAACTGGCATGTATTTATTATAGTTTGCAGTGTCTGAGGTCATGTGACCATCATTTGCACCTTTCTGACAAGCCAAGTCAATGGGGAGGCCAGATTCACTTGTGTTACTAACAACTGCAGTGAGTCACTTGACAACTGGCAAGAAAGGTTATAAAATGGGACAGAATTCACTTAACTGTCTCACTTAGCAACATAAATTTTGAGACTCTCATGATCACAAGTTGAGGACTACCTGTATTGCAAAAATTCAACTTGCAATACAGGTAATACAAATTCGACTTCTGTTGACTCTCTGGAGCAGTGGTTGCCAGCCAGTGGGCCGGGGACCACTGGTGCTCTGCGAGAAAGTTTTGGTGGTCCACAGAGAAATGTCACGCCCAAAGCAATTAATCCAGGCTGCGTGGGAACACAAGGCTGCACCACCCACATCATCCGTGGGAACACAAGGCTTGCATTGCTTGCATTGCAAACACTAGGTAGTGAGGGGAGGGGGGAAAAGGCGGAGCAGGAGAATTTGCCCCACTTGCCTCACATACCTCTCCTGGCTGCTTCTTTCCACTTCTGCTTTTGGCTGCATGCAAGGAAAGCAGCAAAGGTCTTTCTTTCTCTCCCCCAAACTCTGACAGAAATGAGTCTTTGGGATCCTGCAAGGCATCCTGCTCTAAGAGGCTGCACTGGTGTGACAAGTCTCACAAAGACTCATTTCTGGCAGAGTTTGGGGGAGAGAAAGAAAGACTTCTGCTGCTTCTGCTGCTTTTCCTTGTGTGGGAAGTGTATTCATTTTATGACTCAAAACTCAAGATGAAAAAGGGATGTTTCCTTTGAAGTAAGGAAATGCAGTATCAAACACTGATTAGAATGTTGACTGATCTTGGAATGTTTTTGAAGTGCTGGGAACTATCACACATTTTGGAATGCTTTTGAAATGCCAGATAAGTAAGGAAGTATCTGTTACAGCTAGGTACCATGAAAGATAATAAAATGTAACTTGTATCCTGAAAGATAGATTGTAAATCAAGCCATTTGTATACTGGGAGGGGGAGTAGTAGGGGGTAGTTTTGGGTATAAGAGTAGAGCCTTTAAGCTTTGCCTTTCGTTCCTCCTACCTGCCAGGGCAGGAACCCGTTTCTGCAGAAATGTTACAATAAAACCTTTTTCCTTGGATCAACTTTGAATCCTGGTGGTTTTTCTTAGCCACAATCTCACACTTGCATGAAGCCAAAAGTCTCTCCCCCCCCCCTCCAGAACGGAGTTGGAAACTGTATCCTGCAATCCCAAATAAAGAATGATCGATTGGTAGGAAAACGGGATGGGGAATTTTCCTGCAGACTTTTTTTGGGATTTTCCCAGGGTATCTGGTCTGCGGGATTTAAAATTATGATTTTGGTGGTCCCTAAGATCCAAAAGGTTGGCGACCCCTGCTCTGGAGCTATTATTCCTGAGGCTCCCTTAGCAACAATAGGGAAGTCGCTTGTCCCTGCTTTTCACTACTTAAAAAAAAAATCCTGTCTAATTCGATCCTATAACTGAGAAATTTTTCTGGGGCTTCTCCAGCTAAATCAGGCCCCATTTACCTTTTTAGAGATCAGCCACGACCACCTACTTACTGCTGCCGCGACCCTTACAATAAGTACCGCCATCCCTAGCTCGCTTTTCAAGTCGTTTGCTCTCCTAGTTCAGCCCAAGAGAAACCATTTAATGAGGCAACTCCCTTCTCAAAATAACTTCGCCGTTTCCCCACCTAATTGAGAAAGCGCGCAGACAAAAAGGCGACAAAAGCCCCCTTTTCCCAGAAGGGATAGGGGTGCGAACGAAAAACAGGAATCCAGCAAAAGCAAGCGAAGTGTACCTTCTTCTGTTATGTGACGAGGGAGCGCAACGCCTCGAATGGGACCAGCGGGCAGCTTCCCTAAAGAAGTTGTAGAGAGCGGTCGCCAGTTGCAACTCCTTCCTGAACAGGTTCTATAACGTCTGTTGGTTTTCCTTCCTCCCCCGAGGCCAGTCGTTGATTTGATCTGACTTCAAAGCCCCCTCTAAGGCGGAGAGGGGGGGGGGTCCTCCAACTTTAAGACTCGTGGACTTCAACTCCCAGAATCCCTCAGCCAGCCATGTTGGCTAAGGAATTCTGGGAGTTGAAGACCACGAGTCTTAAAGTTGCCAAGTTTAAAGATACCACAACCCCGCTCCTAATGCACCTGAAACGAACCCGCGTCCCTTCCCCGTTCCTCTGCTACTGCAGCCTGACCGGACTAATTCAACGACTCTTCTTCCTTTCCTTTCCCTCTTTGGATTTAAACGTGCAGAGAACGGAGTTAGTCAGGGCGCTTTAATTTAGAGAGAGAGAGAGAGAGAGAGAGAGAGAGGTGGGGGGCGGGGGAAATCCAAGGAAACTATCGGAGATGCGACGCGGCCGGAGATGGTTTCCAGCGGCGCAGCAAGCGCACGCCCACATTTCGCAGGAAGCGCTTTGTGTGTTTGGCTCAGGTGTTGGCTGTTGTTCAAGCGGGGTATGCTGTTGCAAATGCGTTCTATCTCTTGCAGAGGAATTGTCTCTTTTTGTTGTTGTATCTGAAAACTGCCTTTATTGTTAATAATGGAAAGGGGAATATATTTATTTATAAATGGAAGGAGGACAAAGTTTTGTTTTTAAAGTTTGTAGGACACATTCGTTACTTCTTACTCAACTCTGCATTTGGTTCCTCTGGGGTTTTTTTCTGTTACGTTTTTCAGATAAGCTAGAAATTGTCAAGAAAATGAACATGCCCCCCACAAACAACTAGCTAGAATTTAACTAAGTCTTCTGGGGATAGTTATCTGTAAGTGTGATTGTGAACTTCTGCAAAATGGTGACACTGTTCAACTTGTGCTCATCTATAGAAAAATTGTAGTATTACTTACTTTGTTGCTTACTAACTGTAGAAATCAAATCAAGATAAGAAGCTAAAGAAAATAAGAAAAGGAAAAACAATGTTTGACTTCTTCACTAAAAATCTGAGCATGTGGCTGTGTAACTGCACAACTGTCTTTCCCATCTGAAAACAAAATATTTCTTTAACATTCTGTTGCATTCTGTTCTCCTTTTCCTTTGTTTTATGCAGCATCATGGCTGAAGCAAGACAACCCATTCATCTTCTAGATGTTTGCAATCAAAAATTCTCAGAATTCGTGTTCAATGCTGAACACAAGTGCTTGATGTGGTTGAGAGAAATCGAGGAAGAAGCCATGAAGATATTTGATAGGTATAGAATCTTGAATCTTACAAAATGGAAAGATGGTTAAATTTTTTACTCCCAAGGGCTGTAAATTGATTTGGGGGAGGGGGTCGTATTTTCACAGCAAAGTTTATTGCCTAGGGTGGGACTTTTTAAAATGACTTATAGAATCCTAGGGTTCCAGGAAAACAGTTGGGAGTTCTGAGAAAGGCAAAATAATAATAAATTACTCGAACCCAGCTACATTTCTATCATTAGAGCTTTGTCTCTTGATCAGTGATTTGGGTATTTCTAACCAGCAGGTTCTGCGACCTGAAAATGTTTGAAAACCTGTAGCATAAAGCAATGTTTCTACTACAGGTAGTCCTTGTCAAAATTTATGTTGCTAAGCGAGATAGTTGTTAAGTGAATTTTGCCTCATTTTACAACCTTTCTTGCCACAGTTGTTAAGTTAGTAGCATGGTTGTTAAGTGAATCTGGCTTCCCCATTGACTTTATTTTTCAGAAGATCACAAAGGGTGATCACATGAGCCAGGGACATTGTAATTGTCATATATATGAGTCAGTTGCCAAGTGTCTGAATTTTTGATCATGGGACTAGGGATGCAGCAACAGTTGTAAGTGTGTATTATGGTGATAAGTCACTTTTCAATGCCCTTGTAACTTCAAATGGTGACTAAACGAATTATTGTAAGTTGAAGGCTAGCTGTATTCTGCAAGAAAGGCAAAATACATAGCTTCCCACTTCTTGGGAAGGAAAGCAGAGTGTAAGAAAACACCAGTCACTGGGAGTCAGGTAACAAAATTTAATAATAATACTGTACTTCCTTTGTCCATCCTCTTCCAAAAAAGTCTTATTAATTAGGAGTTTATTAATTACCCTGAATTAATGGATTCCTTTCTTATCAATGTAAGGAATGAAGTTGGTCAGATAGTAAGTCAAGTTACATTTCAGCATGGGTCATGAAAGCAAGATACAGACTTCCTTTATTGTTGTTAATTGCAATTCTTCAGATCAATAGGTTGTTGTTATACACAAAAAAAAAAAAAAACAGTGTACACAGCAAACGAGATAACTATGTTGGATTTTGTATCACAAATCACTAGTCGAACACTTTCCAAGTGTTTAGGACTGCGTGATATATTGGTGGATTGTGCGAGCAGATCCCAATAAGGTGGCCTTCTGCAGCTGACCAATGGTGATTTTGTCAGCGCCAATTGTTTTCAAGTGCTTGCCTAGGTCTTTAGGCACAGCACCCAGTGTGCCAAGTACCACTGGAATCACCTGCACTGGTTTATGCCAGAGTCTCTGCAGTTCGATTTTCAAGTCCTGATATCTGGTGATTCTTTCAAGTTGTTTCTCATTGATTCTGCTGTCACCAGGTATGGTAATGTCAACGATCCACTCTTTTTTCTTCTCCACAATCATGATATCCGGGGTATTGTATTCCAAAACTTTATCAGTCTGTATTCGGAAGTCCCACAGTAGTTTTGCATGCTCATTTTCAACCACTTTTTCAGGCTTATGATCCCACCAGTTCTTTGCTACAGGCAGATGGTAGTTGTGTCACAGGTTCCAGTGGACCATCTGAGTGGCTGTGTTGTAATGTTGTTTGTAGTCAGTCTGAGCAACAGTGTCTTGCAACAGCTCAGTATGTGATCAATGGTTTTGTCCACTTTTTGCAGAGTCTGCATTTGTGGTCATCAGCAGATTTTTCTATTCTGGCTTTGATTGCATTTGTTCTGATGGCTTGTACTTGGGCTGCAAGAATCAGGCCTTCTGTCTCTTTCTTCAGTGTTCTGTTGGTCAGCCATAACCAGGTCTTTTCTTTATCTGCTTTTCCTTGGATCTTTTCAAGGAACTGTCCATGCAGTGCTTTGTTACACCAGCTGTCAGCCCGAGTTTGCATTTCTGTTTTCCTGTATTGATTCTTGGTTTGCTGTACTTTGAGCAGCTTCCTATTGTTGACCTCCATCAAAGCTGGGTTTTTAAAATTGTTGTTATTATTGTTATTATTATTATTGTTGTTGTTGTTATTTTGGACCAGTAACAACTTTAGTACCGAACCTGAACTGATGCCCAAAACACCATCTCAGAAGAAGTATCGGAAAAAGAAGCGATCTTCATTGTTTAAGGATGAAAATAAAGAACTAATTAGAAAAAGGTAAAAAAAAATGGCTCACAATATTTAAGCTTTTGATTTTGGAATTGTACCCAATTCCAGGTTGTTCGGATTTTTCTTGTGCTATAAATTGCACAAGGTCTGCAGTCCCTCTGTGTATCTGTCCATGTAAAAATAACTTTTTGATGTTTGGCAATATAGATTGATAAACTAATGCAACTATCAGATTTCACCAAGATCATGTTCTTCTCTGTGCTAGTAATATCTTCCTACATACTACCATAATATAAATGCCCTCCCCTTTTTATTTTTCAATTAAGTCTTTAATCCTATTTTTCCATATTGACTGCTTTTAAAGAGCATTTATATATACTGATAGACTTAGTTGAAATCAATATGGTTAGACAGCTGTTGATGGAGTAACCTACGCTCATTGGTGACTAAAGAAAATTCAGTGGAACATATTTTTAAATCTCCATTTGGACAAAAAAAAAATAGCATGGTGGATGGTCACCAAGGATCTTCAATATCATTAATGTTGATGTTCATGGTCCTCTAAAATAAATAACTTGGTTTACCCAAAATAATGTTCTTTGATTTCTAAAGCAAACAACTTGCTTCTTCCTTTAGTTCTTTAACCTTTGATATGATTAAATGTTTTGATAATATTTACAAATCTTGGCATAACCTTATTAATATTAGGCCCAGATGTCTCACAATTGGAGATACAGGAAATGCATTGGTGTCTCCATATAATTTACTTTTAATAGATATTATTGTAAAAGCTTGCTATGTTACAAAACTTCATATATAAATGATAGTGCTTCATATATAAATTATATTTTCATCTCCTAAAACTTCTCTACAAAAGCTTCCTTTTTTCATACTTGTTGAATTTCCCTGCAAACTGCTTGATTTATTGCATGCCAGTCCATGAATTTTATTTAAAGTCAAAATATTACCTTTTACCTTTCTCTGGTGAAAATGAAATGATTGCAATACAGTTTAACACAAAGCAAAAGTTCCTTATATTCACTTATTTTCAAGGAAATTTCCTTCCAAATGCACATGGAGTGATTTAATCCTATCTATTTTGTATTTTTAAGACAGATTTATGTGCTTATGCATTTGTCTAATGGTTACCACATTACTGCATTACTATTAATATTAATATTCTCATCTTTCCTATCACCCACCTCTTCCCACTTATGACTTATGCAGTGGTGCGATTCAATTTTTTTTACTACCGGTTCGGTGGGCATGGCTTGGTGGGCATGGCAGGGGAAGGATGCTGTAAAATCTCCAGTCAGGTGGTATTTGCCGGTTCTCTGAACTACTCAAAATTTCCGCTACCGGTTCTCCAGAACTGGTCAGAACCTGCTGAATACCACCTCCGGACTTTTGACTGTATGACTGTAACTTGATATTTGTATCTTTATGATTTTTATTGATTGTTTCCTAGTATGACTTGATTGTTTATTTGTACCCTATGACTATCATTAAGTGTTGTACCTTATGATTCTTGACGAAATGTATATTTTCTTTTTATGTACTCTTGAGAGCATATGCACCAAGACAAATTCCTTGTGTGTCCAATCACACTTGGCCAATAAAGAATTCTGTTCTGTTCTATCTATTGAGAAAAATTGCTCTATATTTTATTAGGTGCCTAGTCAATCTAGTAAATACATAGTGATGTAGGAAATACAGAGAATTGTTTTAGTTTCTACCCGAACAATTTTATTGAAATTGTTTTAATTTTTGAATTGATCATTTGTTTCTTTTTTAAGATTATCTAAAGGACATGGCAGTGGAAAAACTGAATCCTTCCAGAAGCATTCTCCAAGAAGAGTACTGAATAACCTCAATGTGGGAGATACAATATCTTTGCCAGATATTATGACAAACTCTTCTAAGGGAAGTTCAAAAGTTCAGTCTGACAAGATAGCTATGGGTCCAGTAGGGGAACCACTTGTTACTGGCTGCTGTAAAAATGGTGTAGAAGAAAAAAGAAATGAGGTCATGAATGGAATTCCTGAACTTTTTATTGTGCATTCAGATGATCATTTAGCTGATATTTCAAGGATCACTGAGATTCCCACCATGTCAGAGAGTCCTGTAATGATAGTCCCAGACATCACTGATCCAATAAAGGCAGAAAAAAATGGGATTAAACCAAGATTACCAAGTACACCCACTCCAAAAGAATCTTTAAATGGGAAGCACACATCTGGAAAAGAGATTCCACCCCAAGAATTAGTTAATAATAATTTAGATCCAGAAGGAGAACTCTCCCAAGGCCTGAAAGAAAGTTCTGCTGCCTCCACGGGGCCTTTGTCGGCCCATCGTCATCTAAGTAGACCACACAAAACTCCAAGGATCTCACTGGTGGAGAAATACTCACTCAGCAATAAAAGAAAAAGCACAGTTCGAAAATCCATTAGCAGGACAATTGCCAGGAAGCAAGCATCTCAGGACTCATCATCTGCTTCAAGTCGAGTAAGCTGTAAGTAAAGGCAATTAACCATGTCAATGTGCAATTGTTATAAGTTGGAAGAGAGTTGATAGGTCCAACTGTTTTTTTCCCCATAAAAATATGATACAGGGCTTTCAAAGGGGGCATCTTGCAATGGTCAAGACACATTCAGAGTACTTTAAAGGTAGGCATTGCTTACATTTCCCACTGAAGTTAACATGCGGACCTAGAAAACAAGAGATGTGAGTTTGAGCATAAAAGCTGGGTGACTTTGGGCCAGTCGCTTTCTCTCAGCCCAACTCACCTCATGAGATGGTTGTTATGGGGAAAACAGGAGAAGGAAGGAGCATTATGCATGTTTGCTGCCTTGAATTACTTATAAAATAATAAAGGTGGACTAAAGATCCAAAAAATAAAATGCAAAATTACATCATTTGTCATGCATGGTGAAAGTGTAAATGGCTTGTAACTGGATCATCTGAGATAGCTGATTATTTCACATATGATATATTGTTCAGAGACCTCAGCATATTTAAGACTGTATCTACTACAATTATATATTATAATATATTAGATTAATATCTGGGCTTGCCTCTTTTCTAATTCAAATTTGGTATGGATCTGCAGAGCATTATTTGCTTTCAACTCTATGAAGTCAAACTTGAATCTTGAATTTATTCAGTTATTTTAAAGTGTTTCTAGCCTTTGTTGGTAACATGTTTCCTGAAAAAACTATGCTTTGTCAGCAGAATTTGCATGTTTATACTAAACATTATTACAGGTACTCCGGGGTGGGATTCCACTGGTTTGCAATGGTTTGGGCGAACCCCTTGTTCCAAAGATCAGCTGGCAGGGAACCGGTTCGCTACAACGATCATGTGGGCCTGCCCCCCCGCCCGTGCTCTTTCCTGTGCTTTATTTCCTTTTGTTAGCGCACAGCTGATTTGCGCGGCAGAGTGGTTTGCCACGCCTCAGCTGTTTTATTCACAGGGACTCCTGTAGAAGGTGCATTTTTTTAAACGTGGAGCGCACGGGCGGAGCTGAACTGGTTGTTATACCAGTGGAGTCCCACCCCTGCAGGTACTCATAACATACCTTTCTTGTAAATCCAAATGAATATAATTTTTGGAATGAATAACTAGCTCTCTTTCTACTGGGACTATACTGATCAAAACTAGGCTTTGTTTGACAACATAGGTCTATTTTGGTGGATGAATTTAAGGAAATTATTATTTTTTATTATATTTAAATATCTTTGCCAGTCACTTTCCAGAGATCTGAGTGGTTTACAAATTATTTAAAAGATAAAAACAAGATAAAAACAAATGCTGGAAAGTGCTAGAATTCCTCCTGCATTGGATGTGCAGTTTCTCTTTTATTGAAAGCAATACTCATATGTACTCCTATACTTACTACATACTTACTATGCTTACTATATTTATTTAGTCTAACGTTTCCATTCTCCAGGCCATAGTTCCACTGAAGTAGTTTTGAATGATGAAAATCACAAACATGGGTAAGCAAACTTGAAAACCTTTAAAGGATTCTGATAATGTAAACCTTACTGAGTTTCATTTAGAATCAATGAACATTTTCTGAATCTGTTGTAAACCTTTTTTTTAAAAAAGATTTGATTAGAATCTTATGGTTCTATTTACATATTCAAAATTAACACTATGTTAAATGATTCAGAATCATGTAGCATTCAGACATCTGATTAAGAAGTTGTGTTTTTCTAGAACTGGAAAAGAGGTTATTCCTGGTGTTCATCTCTTCTCCATCAGTGTCACCAATTCATTTTTGAGGAATGGAACAAAGATTACCATAATATATCATTAGACTGTGTAAAATACCAAATTACAACAACATTTTCCTAAAGTTTGATTCAATGGGAAAAAAATAATCCAAGGTTTAAATGTGTGATGGAAGAGTGGGTGAACCAGATATGCAGATTTATACATCACTTCCAGTTTTTTGTTGTTTATTTACTTTGGTTTAATTATTGAGTGTAAGTATTTATATTTCTTTGGGACAAATATTTTCAAGGATTATTTTTTTCAATCGTGCATGTCTTTGGAGGTTATTGTTAAATGGTCTATACAACCCATTCCAGATATCTCCCATCTTTTTCTTTAAGAATCCATCTAATGAATAGTTCATTTGTCAACTAAGTTATCAATTATTGTAGTAAAATTCTTCTTTCCCAAGTTTTTTTCTTTCATTACAAGTTTTATACATATCAGATACCAGATTACGGGGGCACCTTCTAACAGGTTTTAATGTGCTTTGATTTAATTTGGTATACTTGGCACAAAGACTGGTCATTGCTTGTATTTTAGGAAATTGTACAATTCAAATAATTTGTACTGTGCTACTAAAGATCAGTGGTTCTTGTTGGGTACTTGGATCTGATATGATCATTTGTTTTCAAGTCCTTGGAGACAATAGCGTATTCACTTTATAGTTATGCCACATGCTGTATAAACAAGTGGATACTAGTTTTATAATATTTACCCATTAATAAGAATGTTTAAACAATGATATCCATATATATATATATATATGGTATTCAGCTTTGTTCAGGTATTTTCCCACGTCATTATAGTTGTGCTTTTAAAGTTGTAGCAACGTTTCGGCAGAATCTCATCTGCCATCGTCAGGCTTCTGTATGGTGTTAGTCTGTGACTCAGACTTTCACAGCCATTTCTGTTTTAAATTTGGTGCTAGCCTACTGCTGTGTTAGGATGGTTTTTTCTTCATCCTGATTGGTTGGGAGTCTTAGTCTGTGTTTATTGTTCTTGGAGTTTGCTGTGTTCTGCTTGATTGGTGTTTCTAATATCTGTCTGTTTTGTAGCATTTTTTTGTCTTGATTGGCTCGCAACATTGTGTTTCCTGTATTGGAGGCTTTTAGTGCGGCTTGGCTTTGGGTAAACAGACGGCTATCATTTATTAGGAAGCTAGGTTTCATCTGGGTGCCTGATTGGGGTGTGTTTGAGCTGGAGGTATCGGGGGGGGGGTCTGTTTGTCCCCAGGTGTTTGCTTGGCTTGTGGTGTGGAGATTTTTTTGTTTGTGAGTGCAGGCTTCCAGATAATTGACAGTCTGGTGGAGTCATCCCTCCTATTCATGGTGTCAGGTCTTTTTTCAATCTCTATGGCTTCTCTGATAATTCTGTAGCTGGGGTTTTCTATAGTGGCTAGGGTTTTGGTGCCATTGAAGTCGATGCTATGACCTGTGGCTTTCATGTATTGGACTAGTGAGGAAGTGTTCCAGCTTTTTTACTGCATTTTTATATTCATCCAAGTGGGTACTTATTCTTCTATTGGTCTGTCCAATGTATGTGGCAGGGCATGATGCGCAGGGGACTTCATATATGCCTTGGTTTTCCAGGTCCATTTTATCGTTGGGGTTTCTTAGGATGGCTGCTATTTTTCTGTCTGTTTTGAAGGCAGTCTTGATATGATGCCTGTGTAGTATCTTACTGATTTTGTCTGTAGTACCACTTACCGTATTTGCCGGCGTATAAGACGACTGGGCGTATAAGACGAGCCCCCAACATTTCCACTCAAAATATAGAGTTTGTTATATACTCGCCATATAAGACGACTCCCGCACTTGGAGGCATGTTTTTCAGGGCAAAAAAAGTCATCTTATACGCCGGCAAATACGGTAATGACATCTAGGAAGCAGACAAGAAGGAAGCAAGTGTTCCCGAGCAGTTTTTCTCAACCTCAGCAACTTTAAGGTGTCTGAACTTCAATTCCCAGCATGCAGGCTGGGGAATTCTGGGAGCTGAAGTCCAGACATCTTAATCTTGCTAAGGATGAGAAGCACTAAGATAGAAAAGGCAGGGAGAAGAAGATGATTCAGCCTGTGTGCTTTATGCAGAATATATGATATGCTGGGCAACAAGGAAAGGAAGGAGTGATTTAGTGGAAACAACAAGGAACTTGGAGAAGCCTTCTAGGATTATGGAAAGAATGTTAAAGTTTCCTTAGAATTGTAGCAACTCTATTTTCCAGTCTTCATAAGGCTTCCTAATGTTTAAGTCTTCATAACGTTTAAGAATCGCCGTTGAATTCAGAGCTTTTGCTGAAATTCACATGTAGTTCTACCTACTAAAAGGGCAATCAATGGCTGGAATATATTTGAATCCTCTGCATGTTAAGTGGGGTTTGGTATAATAGGGTTAACTATGATTTCTGTAGTAAAAGTTTCTGTGAGAGGCATTGCCAAAAGTATGGAAGTAGTGACTCTGTTACCATGCCAGTGAGTCATACAGCATGACTCACTCGACACAAAGCCACATACTGATTTCATTATTATATTCATATAATACTTATTGTTACAGTATGCCTATGCCACGACAACACTTGCGATAAATTGATCGAAAGTACCCGATACAACTCTGAATATACAGAGACTGCAAATGATAATAAACACAAGCCTGAAAACTACGAGTCTTGGATCGGCACTTTAATACAAACTTACTCGTACTTCGCAACCATTTAAAACATGCACCGAAGACGCCCCTCCCAATGAGCAACGCTCCAAAGCGCCTCGGAGTTCAAGCTCTGCGGAATTCCGCTAAACGCTTTTCCTGTCAGGAACCGGTGCGAACTTGCGTGAAACCCACAGAGGCTTTAGAGACCGAACTTCGCGGTCTCGCAAGTGGGCTTCCCCGGCTCACGCGGGTCTCTTGCCTTAGCTCAACTGGCCGGGAAAGGAGCTACTGACCTGGCATTATGGCGGCAAGGCAGGAAGCGTCTTTGTCCCGCGGCTGGCGAGCCCTGCCTTCCGCGCTGCCTCGGGGGCATCTCTCGAGCCTTCCGAGAAGCTAGGAGGCCCCCCGGCTGCGCGGCTCTGATTACAGGACAGCCTCGTCCTCGCGGCTTTCCTGCAAGCCTACGAGAAGCTGCGGAGGAGGAAGTGGGATAGGAGCCGCCGCCCGGCCAGCAAGTTTCTTTCCTCCCCGCTTGTCCTCCCAAGACCTGGCCTGGGGATTGGAAAAGCCGAGTCGAAACTCTCGCATTCCGCCTCGCGGCTGGCTCTGAAGCGTTGCTGTTTTGGGTCTACAGAGAGAGAGAGAGAGAAAGAGAGAAACGGAATTCTGTTCCTTCTTTAAGCTTGTTTAAGGCTTGTTTAGGAGACAAACTATGTACCGTATTTGCCGGCGTATAAGACGAGCCCCCAACATTTCCACTCAAAATATAGAGTTTGTTATATACTCGCCGTATAAGACGACCCCCCCACTTGGAGGCATGTTTTTCAGGGCAAAAAAGTCGTCTTATACGCCGGCAAATACGGTATGTAGGACAGGACAGCTATTCCATAGATCTGTTCATCTTCTAGGTCTCCATTATGTCTCAGTGTGATTTTGTGGATCAGGCCTGTGATTTTGCTTTTGTGGAAGCCGAACACAGCAAACTCCAAGACCAATAAATACAGACCAAGACTCCCAACCAATTAGGATGAAGAAAAAAGCATTCGAACACAGCACGAGGCTAGCACCAAATTTAAAACAGAAACGGCTGTGAAAACACACAGATGAACCCAATACACATGCCTGATGATGGCAGATGAGATTCTGCCGAAATGTCGCTACAACTTTAAAAGCAAAACTATAATGATGTGGGAAAATACCCGAACAAAGCTGAATAACATACATACATACAGACATACATACATACATACATACATATTGATTATATGATACATTGAACATTGATCATATTGAACATTAAGATATTGAAGATGACATAGATGATGAGGAAAATGGAGTGAATGATTGCAGGTTATACCTACAAAATAAAAATCAAAGCAAGAAATGAGTATGTGTACCTTAGTAAGTTTATTAAAGATGCAGAAATGAAAGGAAAAATAGAGTACATAGATACTGGTAAAATATAATGAATAGTATGTGGATTGTTGTGAGGATTGTTTGAAAAAATGCAAATAATTGTATTTAAGAGTGTGCTTCTGCCCACTGTCATGTGGAAATGAGAGGTGGATGTGTTAGAAGAAATGTGAATATAAGTTGGCTGCAGTGGGAATGAGTTGCATAAGAAATATGAGTAGTAAAATAGAAAGAAGTACTAGTAGGACCAAGAATGAATTGGTGAATGAATGTTGTTTTAATATAGAAATGAAAAAGAAGTGCTACACATTGTTGATATGGCCACTCAGAGAGAATTAATGAGGATTAAATTACAAAGCTAATATATGAAGAAAAAAAATGAATAGATGAAGAATAGGAAGACATATGATAGAATGGAGTTGGTGAGGTTCTGAAAATGTCAAAGCTGGTAATTGGAAAGAAAAACAAGACCCAGTAATGAAATCATTAATGAATCAGTAATGGAAACAAATATGGCCTACAAATGTAGGAAATTATGGAGAGCACTATGAATGACTTTGTTGGAAACTAAAAACTAAAATAAAGTTTAGTTGGATTTCCTTTTTCCCCCTTTTATCTCCTACCTGTTTTTTAGTACATTTGACTTTTTCCTATATTTTGCATAACATTGAAAGGAAATAGTGTGTTGGGTATATAGTATATAGTGTGTTGCAGGAACTGGGCTTGGCTAGTCTAGTAAAGAGAAGACCAGGGGAGACATGATAGCGGTCTTCCAATATTTGAGGGGCTGCCACAGGGAGGAAGGGGTCAAGCTATTTTCTAAAGCTCCTGTAGGCCAGACAAGGAATAATGGATGGAAACTGAACAAGGAGAGATTTAACCTGGAAACAAGGAGAAACTTTCTGACAGTGAGAACAATCAACCAATGGAACAGCTTGCCCTCAGAAGTTGTGGGAGCTCCATCAGTTGAGACTTTCAAGAAGAGATTGGACTGCCATTTGTCAGAAATGGTGTAGGGTCTCCTGCTTGGGCGGGGGGTTGGACTAGATGACCTACAAGGTCCCTTCCAGCTCTGATTATCTGTATCTATATACACAGGTAAGCTTGATTCAGCAACCACACTTGAGACGAGGAAACAGTTGCTATATGAAGTTTTGACTATGCTTATGATCTTATTTCAACTTTGCTTTGCAGACCTGCAAAAGTCATAAATGCAAGGACTGATTGCAACAGTTGTAACTGTAAATCATCACTAAATGAGACAGTCGTGTGTGTGTGCGCGCACGCACATGCGTGTGTTTACACAGACATCCATTCTCACTGTTTTTTGCATTGTTATTTTGTCTTTAAATAATGTCTGTTGATCACAGTACATTTAAATAAAATAATGAAAACTGGAAAAAAGAATGGTTAATATTTGCCCAAATTTCTCTTTAGGCCTTTGACACAGAATGCTGAATTAGGAGAGGTAAGGTCTTGAAGATGTGGCTATTTGTGTTTACATGATTGCCTTTTGCCTTTAGTGCAGTTCACTGAACTCTGATCACAATTCTTAAGATAGATCTAAAGTTATACGGTTGAATTTACCATTTCAGTTAATTATTTAGTCAAGGTTGTGGGTGACCAGTGCTTCAAATCATCTATTAGAATGCATGAATTTTAATTCTGTGGAGATGTGAGAATGTCCAGCCCTACTGAAATCAATGGATTTAGGTCCATAAACACATAGGATCTGCTGGCACAGAAAATAAATATGCTATTCAGCATAGTTTTCAACTTCAACACTACAGCTTAATACCCAATGTGATTTTGAGAAAGCGCTTTTATTTGACACTTGTTTTCCATTCATAGGTGTTTTTTTTGAGAAGAATTAATGTTGTGCAATTATTTCATTTAAGGGGTTTTAACATTATATAATGGTGAACAATCAAGTAAAGGAAATAACTTGAAGTTACTACTTCAAAGTGTGGGGTATTCTTAATCTCTGTTGACCTAAAATTTTTTAAAGCAAGCTATTCCTTTTTATGGACTAGTTTATATGTCTGGGCTAAATTGCAGATGATAGTTTTATGGAGTGTCATTTCAATCTCAGTCCATGCAGATACATACATATTTCTCATAGTCTAGTCTTTCTAGACTGTGGAAAGTTTAGAAGTTTTATTTGATCTTCACATGTAACATATATTCAGACTCCCTGGTAAGTATTTTCATGGCTTTGACGGGGTCTCTCTTACTTGGTATTAACCGGAAATTTTGCTTTTCTTGAAGATGGAAAATAGAAAATTAACTGGATGTTATGACACCCCTCCCCTTTCCTTCATTGGACAATGTGAGAAATGATTGTTACTGTATTCATATGTAAGTAAAGGCTTCCTTTACTTACATATAGTGGAGATGAACACATGATGAAACATGTTAATGTTGCTTTCTTAGTAACAATATGGAAATAGTTTGCTGTTGCCTATTACTGAATTCTTTTTTCCATTTCTCATTCCACCCAAACACTGCCCATCTTTTTAAGAACAGAAAAAGTCAGCTCAGAGCTGCCACATTCAACATGTGAAATGTTACTTATTTAACAAAAATGAAAAATAACCCCTCTTGCATTTGTTCCCATTGATAGCCCTGCTGCTTTAACCCCCCCCCCCATTTTTCTAATCGTGGTACCTTGACACATATATTCATTTTAAAATGAGAGTCCAGAAATGGGAAAATATGATAAGAGCAATATTCTTCGATATATCTCTTTATCTAGAAAGTGTAAAAATAATATATTGTTTTTTTTTCTTAGCCTCTGAACAGTCTGCAAAAAGAGTCCTGTGCTCTGGATGCACCTAGTCTAGTTAGCACCCCTAAGCGCAATCCAACACAATTTGAGAGGCACCAAGATAAGACTTGCAGTAAAGGTAAATAATGTCATGAATAGATAAGGAATTTTCATTAAATACTATTAAAACCCTCAATAAAATTATTCTGTTTTCCCTATATAATTTTTATATCTATGATCTTTGTCTAGACTTTTGTTTTAAGTCATAACATGAACAGTTGTAATTATATTTGCTAGTATACAATATTTAGTATCTTGTCACTGTAATTAAAAGCATTTTATGAAGCAGTTTTGAATCTTGATATAGTTTTTCTACTTACGGTACATTAGTGCAACTAGGAACAAGTTCTGTCTACAATATATGCTTTATTTCAACTTAGCTGTTTTTATCAGGCAAAAAGATGGATTTTGTGACAAGATCTCTTTTATTAATTGTGCTTTTCTTGCAGACCGACTTGAGACTACAATTACTGACTCCCACATCAGTAATTCTGAAGATTTAGCCAGGAACAACAGTCCCCCTGAACAAATGCAGAACATCCGGTATTCATTCCTTCCTTCCTTCCTTCCTTCCTTCCTTCCTTCCTTCCTTCCTTCCTTCCTTCCTTCCTTCCTTTCTTCCTTTCCTTCGGTTTCTTAGAATTCAGAACAGTAATCATTTGAGCACTTACCTAAAACTGCTTCATTTAGAAAGAGCTATCTTAAAAACTCTAGCTAGTCTTTATATTAAATATTTGTCTTTTAGGTTACAAGCATTTTTTAAATAAAAATTTCCTATAAATTTGTGCATTTTTCTGGCAGTCTGGCTGTTATAGGCATTATAGCCTAGATTGCTTCTGTAAGAACCTGCTGTATATATAATACTGCAATGCTGAGGTTATTTAGAGAAAAACTGAATTTAGAAAATTTACCTAAATGTTTCATTGAATTTAGAGAGAGTGAAGTGATTTAGTAGCATGGGCAACATATCTTTCAAATAATATCTGTGTTTTTACTGTGGTCACTGCTGACTTTCATCTCAAGTAGCATGTTGGAGAACTTGTTAACAATTACCGTAATACTTCAAGAATATAAATCATACTATTTTGATATACATTTACCTGTCAGTATTACATTTATGAAATTAAATATGAATGGTTTAATAGAATAGAATACTTTATTGGCCAAGTGTGACTGGACACACAAGGAATTTGTCTTGGTGTAAATACTCTCAGTATACATAAAAGAAAAGATATATTCATCAAGAGTAAAGAATCATAAGGTACGACACTTAATGATAGTCATAGGGTACAATAAGCAATCAATCATAACTAGAAAACAGTCAATATAAATTATAAGTATACAAGTGACAAAGTTACAGTCATACAGTCACAAGTGGGAGGGGATGGGTGATAAGGAGTGATGACAAGATTTGACAGTAATAGTAGTGCAGACTTTGTAATAGTTGAACAGGGTTGAGGGAATTATTTGTTCAGCAGAGTGATGGCTTTTGGGATAAAACTGTTTTTGTGTCTAGTTGTTCTGGTATGCAATGCTCTATAGCGTCATTTTGAGGGAAGGAGTTGAAACAGTTTATGTCCGGGATGTGAGGGATCTGTAATATTTTCACAGCCCTCTTTTTGACTCGTGCAGTATACAGGTCCTCGATTGAAGGCAGGTTGGTAGTAATTGTTTTTTCTGCAGGCCTAATTACTCTCTGAAGTCTGTGTCTGTCCTGTTGGGTTGCAGAACCAAACCAGACAGTTATAGAGGTGCAGATGACAGACTCAATGATTCCTCTGTAGAACTGGATCAGCAGCTCCTTGGGCAGTTGAGCTTTCTGAGTTGGTGCAGAAAGAACATTCTTTATTGTGCTTTTTTGATTACATTTTTGATGTTAGGTGTCCATTTTAGGTCATGTGATATAGTAAAACCTAGAAATTTGAAGGTCTCTACTGTTGATACGATGTTGTCTAGTATTGTAAGACGTGGTAGTATGGGAGGGTTTCTTCTAAAGTCTACCACCATTTCTATGGTTTTGAGTGTGTTCAGTTCCAGATTGTTCCGGTTACACCACGAGGCAATTTCTATAACCTCCTGTCTGTATGTGGATTCGTTGTCGTCTCGAATGAGACTAATCACTGTTGTATCATCAGCAAACTTCAGTATTTTAACAGATGGATCGTTTGAGATACAGTCATTGGTATATAGGGAGAAGTGGAGAAAGCACACAGCCTTGGGGGGGCCCTGTGCTGATTGTACAGGTATCAGAAGTGATTCTGCCTAGCTTCATCTGCTGCTTCCTGTCTGTTAGGAAGCTTATGATCCACTTACAAGTGTGTTCAGGTACTGCTACCATGTTTCTCCAACAATACGGCCTCCACCAATAGGAAGCCCCAGCATTATTTATTGGCATAAAATCAAATTAAGCCCCTCCCCCCAAATTAAGGCCCATATTAAACATGCGAAATGGGGGGGGGGGGAATGGCAGGGGGGGCTTGCCGTTAGGAAGTACTTTGTTGCATGCCCGGATATGGTGCTGCCTGCGTTGGTGGAGCACTTCATATCGGGAGACCTTCCATCACCGTTGCTTTCCCTTCTCCCTTGCTGCCGTAGTGTTACAGCAACGCCGCGGCGTTTGGCGCAGCCACGTGCAGCCAGTCAGGGCTCCTCCCT